CACACACAATGCTTATCTTCTGCTTACTAGAGATGTTGTGCAATGCACAGCTCCACTTATATACGTGTGTGAAGCCCATTTCTGGTGTCCCCCGTGGTGATGTTGCAGGAATATTGCTAAAAGCAGCGTAAAACCAAACTCAGTCAGTCAGTCCACTTATATATGCAAGAAAAAGGCTAGAAACTTCTACAATACTCTCAGAGGGACCAGCACCCCGCACTACTTTCCAGATCTTTCTGTCTAAATCTAGTACAGGTTTAAATATAGCACACCATTTCCCCTAACTGAATCTACGTGTACAGTGTATTACACTTGGAATATTGATACACAATAAAACACACTGTCACATACCAGTGCAAGCACTCATCGCTTAAACTAAGCTTGAGACAGACACATCACTCAAATTAGCACTTAGTAAATACACAATATTCGTGCATCTATAAATACTCAAGGGTACAGTACAATTTACTTTACAGAGTTGCGTCCCTTGTCGTGCTAGGATCCACTGTTTGTAGCTTTTAGTTCTTAACTCACGATAGTTTGTTTGTCAGCAATATAACCATGCTCCTGGGTATCACCGAAGCGATGAATGACGCTTAGAAGTCTACTTCCAAAATTAATCCCAGTTACCAGAAATATTGGCGGCCAACCCAATTCAAGCTTTCATCAGTACATGAGGCCCATTACCTGTTCAACATTTCATCCTCGATTCCCTTTTCGCCTTGATAATGTGTCTAAATGTTAGGCACCACACCCATGCTCGAGGGCTTCTCCAAAGCAGTAACATCTAAGACCTCATTTCACTTCCAGCCTTCTATCCAGGTTAGATCTGCAGTGAAATACATAAACTGCCCTGTTGTGAGTGAGAGAGTTAAGTAAGAACAGAAGACTGAACCAATTTGTCATCAAAAGGCAACTGAAAAAGACATTCACAAATAATTACACGAGTAGAATGGTTACGTTGGAAGTTCAAAAATGCTTATTGGGATATAGAACATTCAGAGTGAGTGAGTGAGTTTAGTATTACACCGCACTAGAACATTCAGAAGACACCATGAGATGGTAAGTGTTCATTGTCACTATTTATGTCTACATTAGGATTTGTTTAAGTTTGGCGATCGACAGTACTTCGGGTTTGTTATTGTCTATTGACTCTCACATGAATAACCATCAGGTAAGGGAACCGGTCTCAATCATTATGGGAGTGAACAAGATTAAGTAATACTATTGTTATCTCGAATTTCATCATATCGATGCCGACATAATCGTCACCAAGCGCACACATGTAAGCCACTAAAGAGGTGCTCGTAGTAAGGTTTTGGAGTTCAGTGTCGCTTTAACAATATTTTAATCACATCAAAGTTTTCAGTTTCATTCAATGCCATGCAATGCAGGTCGACTACATTTAGCATAATTGGAAGAAAACTTGGAGCGCGGATAATTGCTGATCAAACCAATCACCATTCGCTGAATATATTAGTACAGCGACGCCAGGTACCGTGATCCTCCTGCTATAACTTAGAGTGAGTGAGTGAGTATAGTTTTACTCCGCTTTTAGCAATATTCCAGCAACATCACGGCAGGGGACACCAGAAATGGGCTTATCACATTGTACCCATGTGGGAATCGAACCCGGGTCTTCGGCGTGACGAGCGAACGCTTTAACCACTATGCTACCCTCCGCCCCTTTAACTTGAAATTATATATGTATATGCATGATAATGCCAGCTTGAAACTTGTTGTCTACGCCAAACCCCCAATTCAAAAATGAATCTGAAAATGGGGGAATTGATTATATTCATTAAGCTTATTCTTATTGGCAGACTGTTTTCATCAGAAGTGTTTGGCCTATTTTCTCATCTTAGTTGGAATATTTATCCTTACGTACATAAGCGGGTCATGTCATGATGCTATTAAGTGCGATAGTTGATGTCCTGATGACATGTTGTTGTTTTTGACAGGAGGTCACAACCTCTGTGACATTTTAACCAGACATTAACTCGCAGCAATGTGTTATACTTGTGGGGTGCAAGATGTTACAGTTGGTAAATACAGTCTCCAAAATAACATCAACCACAGAGATATCGTGCCAGTATCGAGTTCGTGAGTTCGAATCCAACATTGGCACTAATTATGATTCTAGGTTGGCATCAATTCCTCGCTCTTGGGTTTCAACAGAGTGGTTAACGTCTAAGACCGTAATGACTTGGGCCCGATTAACGCCCACAAGAATGTGACACCGCGTGAAGTAACGGAAATACTATATATGACATATAACCCCCGTTCCATCTCTTTCAACTTCGATCCAACGGGAATAGATTAAAAACGTCATGCCCGAGAATTCACATGTCATGAACGCCTTTGCAGTTTAGTCGAGGCACCATTGGCACAGAAGAATAAAAACAGAACCTCATGTAATTGTGTAGTTCCATCGAGTGAAAACAATATTATCAAAGGCTGGGTTTATTCCATTGAGAGGTTCCTACATTGTTTCAATTTAAAACATTTATTACGCTCCATGAAATACCTCTTGGAAACCTAATCAGCAAATGTTTGCATTTACTGGGAACCGTTGCTGCAAACATATTAGTCACACTTTCCAAAATATTCCAGCGCACCCTTGCTGGCTTTCACGGGCCTTACGTGACACAGTTAGGAGGCCAGAGCGTTAAAGCGATTACAAAGCGTACAACATAAACAATCACGTAACAGATCCGGATGTACTGGGAAGCATAGTGATTCTAAACCACCTGGACCGTTTTCTGTTCGTATCTATTCCGTCATTTACAATAACTTAACTTGATTAATCCGTGTTTTATTCAATAGTATCTTTGTAATTGAAGTACGGGGAAAACAGAAGAGTTTTCTCAGCTGTACCTTTTGACCTATGAAATACAAAGCATCCAACTGCAACGTCATCGTGAGAGAATAGCCAACGTAAATGGTAAGAAATGGTAAAATTATACAAATGGATAACTGAAAGTGATGACATCGGGTGTTCGCGAAAATGTTAAACACAGAAATAAGAATGAGCATTGCGTGTCTTCATGGTAAGAGATATATATATTAAGAGTTTTTAAAAACCGATTCATACTGACAACATGTTTTCTTATGGTTCAGTTACTAATATTATATGAGTGATTGAGGTATCTTCACTCACAGAAATATATCTTAATTCACTCCATAATTCAGTCAATTATTATTCCTTAGCACGTATTGTGAAACAAAAACTAACATGAGGTAACGCTATACGAGAATATGAACACTTAGAGAATCTTTAAAAATATTTTGTTTACAATATACCAAGATTGACAAGTATCGTGTTTGATGTATATGTGGGAATGTAACTGATAAAATACTGTCTAGAAATTACATTTTTTGTATTTTGTCTGTATGTTTCTATTTATTTTTAAATATGGATCTGTGACATTACATTGTGTTTTGTTGCAATGCAAATAATTCTCATTTCTTTCTTTGCATTGGCAAAACGCGACGTAAACTATATTTGATAGCTATAGAACTTGAATAATTCCTGCAAACTATTCCTGTTTAAACTCACACAGATGAAAAATGGTGACGAATAAAGCAATATACCTGTATGATTGTATCTCCTTTCTGTGATCCGTGCTATTATTTATTTATGCATACAATCAATACCCAAAATGAACATTATACAATCTAACAAAACTATGTTACTTGCAATTAAAATAGTTCTTATTTTGAACTTAGCACTAAGAAAATGTGAACAAAACTATGACAGCTATAAAAATTGAATAGTTCCTACAAACGGAATGAAACTTCCTTTGTATAAAACTGACACATAGCAACTATTTTCACAAAGAAGAAAAACGTTAATGAATAAAAAATAGATCTGTTTTCTGGAATTGATGCCATTATTTATTCATGCATACAATCAATGTCCAAATTGAACATTTAAATTTTGGCAAGACAAAAGTTACTTGTTAATGCATAAATGTTCCCCTGATGAGCTTTTGTAAACCGTCTTCAGGAAACTTTCATCCAATATAAAATTTCCATTAAAACCGTCACTACCGTATTCTAAAACTACAATTTAATCACACCCACGCAACGAATGAAAACGTGTTTAATCTGCTAACACCTGCAGCCCTAATCGACAGTACACGCACACCTAAATATATCCCCACCACGAAAATATTACATAACCTTCTATGTAACCACGATAAGTTAATTACAACGGAAAGTCAATTAACGTTAACGTTTCTGAATAGATAATGGTAGCATTTTAAACGTAGGGCATTCAATTACTTAACAACTCTTGTTAAGGATAAATGTGAATGGACCTATGTACAAACGTCAATTGGATGGAATGGTCCTTGAGAGACGAAGATTTTAACCGTGATAACAAGTCCTTGTTATAGGTACCTCTGCTAAAGCTGAGTGATTGTAGGATCGAAGCCTGCGCCTGGTAGGCAGCAGGCTGTGAGAGTGCGCAGGGCGTCATCAGTAGGATGGCTGTTCCAGCAGCATAGCAGTGTAGTTGGCTATCAGAGGTAGACCCAGGATCAACGCGATGGGCTGAGTGGTCCCGTTCCGTCAACTCTTCAGAGGTTTCATTACAAAACATATGCTATACTGGAGCCATGCTACATGAAGCGTATTGATTGCATCAACCAATTGCTTGCAATTGTACTTTGGACAGTTCTCATGCAACAGATCCACTTTTAAGCCCTCGTGCAACTTTTTACACCAACCGGAAGTGTCGCCTGATTATGCTGTCACCGTTTGTGTTGCACGTGCTTCACGTTTTTATTCTATTTCCGGTTATTGTGTTTAATATTCCCACTGACGAGCAACGTCTTCTGGATAAAATTCTAAGTGACTACAACACGGCCTCCAGACCCGTGTACAACGCATCGGACAAAGTGACAGTGAAGTTTGGGATAACTTTAACACAGATTACAGATATGGTGAGTGTGATGATTTGGTTTTATATGTCTGTTTGTTTTGTTTCTCATTAGGTCGACATAGGAGGAAAAAGCTGGAGAAACCTCACAGGATTCCCGATGAGCAGAAACTGCTGCGAAAGCTTCTTGAGAAGTACGACCCTTACGCTCGTCCTGTTTACAACGCTTCCAAGACAGTTGTGGTTAAATTTGGTTTGACACTTATTCAAATCGCCGATATGGTAAGAGGGTTTATATGTTATAAATAGCAACACTGTGTTCCTTATGTATGTGTGCTCTTTTTCCTATGTATAGTTATTTTTTTCAGGAAATAAGAAATAGTTTGTTTGTAGTTTGTAATCAATTATATGTTGGTGGTTTTTTTAATTACATCTGTGCATTAACATGTCCAGTTCCACGCCGACAAGCAGACATTAGATTTGAACGTTTTAAAATACTAACTGACATAGGCAGTGATTTACTGTCCAACAAAGGTGACGAATGTGCACTGGGATGATGATTGTATACAATTTATTCAGAGTTTCAATAACACATTTCAAACTTCAAACAAAGGCCAAAATTATGATTCCTGCGACTATGACATTATCAAATAAAAGGCATTCTTCAGACTGCTGACTTACCCAGCTAATCAGTATGACCCCATCGAAAACAACGCAATTATAAAACCCGTTGTCGCACAGCGGAGATGCTGACTGCTAGAAAGCTATAGTTACGACTCGAGGGAACTAAAAACATGTTAGTTTTTTTATAATGACAGGTGCTTTTGTGATAGGCTCTGCAAAATATCTGATTTTGACAGCGTCAATTACACCGATATCATTCACGTAACATGTTTTACAGGATCATTTTTTGAGGAATTATTTTCTACGTTTCCTACGAGCAGATCCAGAATCATTGTTGGCAGACTGTCCATCATTCTTCGTTACGTAACACTTAAGTGGAGTCGATTATGTTTTTAAGAATAATTCCTTTTGACTGTTCAACCTTTGGCAATCTCTAGACGCTAGGGACCGTTTTCAAAGATGAATATTTGTATATGGCCCTATTATAAACCTGCCATGTACGAAACATAAAACCATAGTCGATGACACGTGGCAAATTCAGAAAACACAGGGGAGTTTTATTCCCTGTCGAGAAAGAAGTAATTTCAATGTTATACTCATGCCAATAATGGTTGTCACCCCCTTCAATTTTGTTTATTGGAGAGGGTGGGGGATTGGGGTGGGGAGAGGGGTGACAACCATTATTGGCATGAGTATATATGCATCCCATAGAAAGTTGCATGGAATAAACCATATCTCATTCATGGAACTTTATTCAAACAAAAATTAAACGAGTACGCACAGAACGTATAGAAATACAGAGACGATATTTTATCGACCTCAAACATCTTGTAACCTCCAAGCTGTCTCTGTAAATATGGATTGGTGTACATACACAACTTTGACAATGATATGACCTAAATAACGTACGATACGTTCGCGCAAGAATATTAAAATAGGTCACAAGAACGGATGTTTTAATACTACGCATGGGTAATGCCTGACCATTCATACCATACATTAGTGCACTTATTCTTTTTGCGGTTAGACAGTATTTCACACGGCGTATTATATTGCTATAGACCCCAATTACTCCCTGCACAGATTGCAATTGCGTCTTTGATAAGGAACATTACCATCTTGATAGTGAGAGAGCTTTCTATACAGTGTTCAGCGTACTGGTATGCCCTCTAACTTCAAAGATGGCACTGGCATAATCTACACTAATGCTTCAGATTAAGTGTGATGAGTTATTGTGTTTACGTAACCTAAACAAACAATAGATGCATGTTATGGAGAAAATCAAAGCACAAGGGGGACACATATGAATAACATTTTTGTTAAGTTCAGAACGACCTTCTGAAAAGAGGGCCAGTGATTGCTGGTTTAGTAGTTCCGCAGAAAGGATCTGGAACCGTTAAGCGTTTCAGTTTACGATGTGGACGAAAGGGTGTGTAAAGATCCATCCTTGGCGTGATGCTGGTTCCACAAAGTCGTCTTTCAAATCGTAACTTGTATTCGAAACATACATAATAAAGATCGTTATTGCAATGCATTAAAGTTACAGACAACGTTCGCCTACAATGAAGACATCTTACAGTTACATCAAAGAATCCGCAGACCGAGGCAAAACAAAAAGCTACAGCTTTAAACGCTGATATTGCTGTAACTACGTATATAGATATTCATAAAGCTACACTGAACATGGGTTAGATGATGAAGTATTCGATGCTATTCAACGGACAAGGGATAACGTTATGGTCGCAAAAGGTTCCCTTTTATGATGAAAGTTTGGCGCAGGTTATGCTACATGCAGTACGGGATGTAAATCCGAGTCGTTAAACAGCATGTTGCATGGATCCAAATCCTTGTGATATATACACTGTAGTAATGATGTATACATTTGTATTGAGCGGTTCTCATATGAGCTGATGCCAAATAAATCGGGTGCATAAACATGTTACGTACTTCCAAACAATAAATCAGATCGGGTCTTGGGCCAGTGCGCTTCGATGGCAGTGGTTTCAAGACTTTGCTGTATCGACCTTAAAGGCTAGAGCCACACTGACATTATTTATGTGTGAACGAATTTGGCAGCATGAGCATTTTTTTGTGGGAAAGACCTTAGATTACATTTTTTAATACGCACAATTTTATTATCTGTTGTAAGAGAGGGGTGTGATGATGATTCTTTACACTTTGATAAAAAACGTGCTAGAAAACGTAAAGTGATATTTTGTGGTTTAGTCAATTACTTGAGTTTCAACTTCAAAAGGTCAAACGTCGATCTCTACTTCCGTGTGTTATTACGCAAATCTGTATACTGCATGTCGGCATGGAGAAACCCCGTACGTGGCTTCTTGGTGTTACAGGAGCAGTCCATGTATGTGTTCATGTGACCAGCATTGGATGCAGTTGGACATACAACCATTAAACCATACAGCACTATACTAAAGACAGTTAAAGCTTTGACTGACACCTCTCTCACCAGATATAAATGTGTTTACACATTGCACAAACCAGTGGTAATTGAGTTTCATGGATCAGATGATTTACAAACACTGATACACAGTCGACACCTGGAATGAGCTGGTATTCAGATAGGGATTCCTTTGGCCAATAATCACCGGTCAAGGGGAAGAGGTGGGGGCGGGGTCATTAAGGATGTCCAGAGAGATGGCAACAGCTGGGTTCGCCTTGGCATGATACAGCAACCAATAGATTGTAAATGGTTTCATTAAAGTTTCAATTACAACTACGAAGTTCTCCCGCCACTGTTCCAGTCTCTCAATACAGAGCTGCGGATTTAATTGGAACTAGAAGGAATTGTCTCTTGATTGACAAGGTTGCTCGAAGCGTTAAAACAATATTAATATGCTTTGGTTGAGAAAAATAACCCAAGCAGTTTTTGCATGTATCATTACCCGAAGCTTCTCGTACAAATTGAATATTAGGTTTCATCCAGAAACATTCATCGGAACTGTGATGAGAAATATTTTAAAAGCATTCTAAATGAATGAAAGTATTACGATTTAGAATTGACATGTTGCAAAAAGCTACATATTAAGATCTATAGCAGGGTAAGATTAAAGACGACGACTGTCAACTTGAAACATGTCACAGTGGGACAATGCCTCCTGTGTAGCGTTTTCTTAGAACAGTTCGATATTGAATTATTTTACAAAGGCAAGGAAAGATTATGACCGAACGCTCTTGTCTTCAAAATGTGCTCGATTTCCCGAAAGGATTGACAGACAGCGGTTTTCGCAGATAATGACTTTTACAGTGAGGGGATTTTTCTAACTGTACTCGCAATATTAACCATGAATGCAATGAATCAAAGTGTGTCCAGCGGAACAAATATTTCAAGTAGTTGCGTTAACTTAGCGATACGATACGCATACTCAAGCAAGAAAAAACGAAAATAAACTGCAGTCATAGTTTCAAGCGAGAAGTTCCTAATTTGTACTAAGGAAATCGTAGTGCACAAACTTGTTTTTGAAGGGAAATGTATGAAAATATTTTGCTCCTATCTTTGTCAACACAGCACCGGGATCCGGGTTGTTGAGCGTCGTTTTATAATGTCACGTGCCAATCAGTGGTACTAGAACGAAGATTGAATATTGATTTGGAGATGGCTATCGGTGTTGGTTAGAAGATGGAGAGGACGGGAGCTTAAGAATTAGAAAGGTAGAAAACATGGAAAGATGTCCTGTACTGAGGCCTTTTGCAACATTAGTATTACTTCGAGTGTCCTTCTGTCAGCACTAACGGAGTAAAGTCAATTCCAGTTGTTTAAACACATAATGATCGGATACAGGTAATGCATCTTTTATTGCATTTTGATCGTCTTGATATTTTATGCTAACAACTAGAATGACTTTCACGTGAAACATTTAACACTTCAGTCCTTTGAAAACGAACTCAGCACTTTAATATGTAATGATACCCAATGAAGCTGAATAAACCCATGCCTTTTACGTGTCCGATTTCCTTAGAAGTGCTAAATTGTGAATGGGTGTCGCTCTGTTAATGCTCTGCACGACTTGGTAGCTTGCTTTAATTTTTTCGATCAGCCATCTAAACTTTCCTGTACTGCATATCGAGATCATAATAACAAGATAACAATGATTTCCCCCTGGCAATGTTTGGATTTACCGACGCTGTACATCCCCACGGAAAGTGAACTATTTTCAACAGCTGTTGTTTATATTAAAGATGGTACAAAAAGGCTTCATTATGTATCTCCTTGTAACCACATGCCTGCGGCCACATTTGGATTTCATGCAGAGGTATTTGTTGTTCAGATACTGAAGACATCTATTTACATGATATTTGTATCATCTTCTTCACACATATTACAGTTAATATACTCATGCCAATAATGGTTGTCACCCCCTCCCTCCCTCCCCACCCCACCCAACCACACACCCACACCCACACCAATTAAAACAATTGAAGGGGGTGACAACCATTATTGGCATGAGTATAGAATGTAACCTGTAAAGAAAAATAGGCTTATGTAGAAACAAAGTGATATTGTATCGTACATGCTGGCTGACATCCAAATGTTCCTCACGAACTCCAGAACTATTGATTGTTCAACTCAACAGGTCGGAGGCTATTAATCGGTAGTTCCAGTATAAAGATTTCACCTCCAGGCAGATAAGGCCTTATTA